AATTAAAATTTAACGCTCGATCGATTAGAGTTACCGAAAAGAGAGGGGAATATATACGAACCTGAACCTCGAAGAGCCGAACGCGCACAATTTCAATGACGGTCACTAGCTTCATTTCGCGGAGAAGAACAAACGGTTCGGATGAACCGTGGCAACGACACGAACAAACTGCGCCCCAGTCGGTGATGGCAACGAGCTTTTGTGCACTGTGGCCGGTGCATTGATTGAAACGCAAACCAGTTAAGGGTGCAACCTAATCTCTAACAGGAGGAAAACTGCTATACCTGCGGGACTTTCTACTTGCGTACCGTAATCCCTCTTGCAGGATTACGGTGTCGTTTTCCGTACTAAAGAGAACAACTCGTCGCTTACGTTCTCAGTTGACATGCTCTACACGTTTCCTTTAAAGAGTGCTCCACACGTTTCCTCCGTAGAAAAAGAAGAGCCGCATATGCATCGAGTGGGAACTTTGTAGCTCAAACAGATGTTAGCGTAGTTCAGATTATAACCTTAGTCGTCTATAGAAAAAAATATCGATTTCATACTCCAGGTTGGAGTGAGAAACTTTGTCAGAACTTCTTTAGTCAGACTTAAACATGGTATTATCTACTGAATGAAGCGTTCGAAGATCTAAGGCGATAGTTATAGCCTCGTGTCCCTAGGACAAACAACTCTTTTAACGACTGCGAACAATTGTGCAATCAGTGGATTATCAGTCATAAATATCGTGCTTTCAATCGCATTTAGAACTTATCGTGGAAATTTTGGGAAAATCTTCAAACTTGACCTGTTCCTCCAAAATTTCAAAAATATCATAAAACTGGCAGAAAAGAAAAGAACTTTCTTGGAAGAGATCTTACGGATTTTATTTGAAACGATTTCGAAGCAGAAATCGCGACGAATTTGGACAAAATTCGTTCCTCCAGATGACAGACTTCTTTGTATCTGGAAAATTTTCAAAAGGCCCTTGCGGGATTCGCGTTCAAAACGAAGCCCGATGATCTGTCACGAGTCGAGTCACGTTTGCGCCGATTTCGAAGCCGGATCGTGTTGAGCCTGAGGGATAAAACTGAGGAGAAATCGCAGCAAAGTCTCCGACAGCCGATTAGAATACACAGCCTTCTTAAAATCCAGCAACGGAATAATCTAGTATGGTAGCGGGCGCGTGGAAAGGTCGCGCGGGGGTTGCAAGCCCGACATTTCTCGGTCTTCCGTTGGCTGGCTGAGCGCGTATTAAACTAGCGGCCGTTCCGGAATCCGGCGTATCCAGCCAGGAAAAATTCAGGATATATCGGTCGTCGAGTAGCTATCCGACCGACAACCACGTGTACATACAGTCCCGTGTGCACAGGCCATGGTAAAACTATTGGATTATTCGAGGCGTACGAGTGGAAGAGCTGCGGTTAGCAGGCATCAGACTGAGTTTGTTGGATTCGGGATCAAAGTAATCTCGTTTGCCACCCACCCGATCAGCCTATCCCCGATGACCAGGGCTGGGCAAACCACGCCCTATCATCCCTGGCTATCGTTGCACTTCGAGTCCTTTTCGAAAAACTGATTGAAATCGTTCAAAAGTTGTGTGTATATGTTCGTGGTCCCAACTTGCCCCTAAAGGGCCAATAGACACGTGAAACACGTACGAAATGAACCCACTGAAGCTGCTTTATTCGAGACGAGACGATGATCCTTATGATTTTCCGGGTCCTGTGTGCGATGAGGAAATAAAATTGTTCATCAGGATGAAAGGGAAGGGTGATTTTGCGAAAGAAACGTGGAATCGGACAGGCACGGACGGGCACGCTTCCCTTTGAGCGAATATTTAAGTGGATATTCGCGGAATGTTGGACACCCCTGGTGCCAGCTGAGGCGTATGATCTGATTAGTTGACTCTAGGGTGGGTTTTGCCCTCGGTAAGTCGGAATCCGCTCGTTTTTCGAGGCCGGATTAGCCTCATAAGATGACACCGCTGCTCGAAAGATTAGATACCGAGATTACCGGTTGAAACAGCGTCGGATGACGGATTGAATCGGATAACCCAAGCCGATATTGATGATACTTAATGATACTCGGCCAGGAAGACCGAGGCTGCTCATCAGTGGCGAGCAGTCGTCGCACAGTCTCATGACAAAGGCAACCGTGTGTCTTCGATTTTCACCGTTTTCACGGATCTACCAGGTACATTTACTTGCAGAATATCAAAATATCACGAGGATCAAACATTTAACAAGCCTTCCTTAACGTAGATTAGCGTGATTGACAACGTGGAGAGTGAATTTACTCAGGCAGTCTCTTGAGCGAGATACTAGCAAGAATCTAGAAGCTGATCAGTTACGATTTTCGAATTT